GCGGCTCGTCTCCGTGCGGAACCATGCCCCCCGCTGCAATGTCAGCTCGCGGAGGTGCGGGGTGGGGACAGGGAGGCCCCACTTTACCTGGTCAGCTCAGAACCGCAGGCAGGCTAGTCAGGTGAGTCGTCGGGGATTTTAAAGAAGCCGAAGCCGGTTTCTTTGCTAGGAAAGTCTACAACACCATGCAGGGACATTGCAAAATCTTTATACACGCCTCCTTTAACCGGGCTCCCGCGACCTCCGCCGGCGAGGGGGGAACCGCCGGCGGGCTGCAGGCCGCGCTGCACCGCGGAGGGCGGGCGGGGGGCGCGGGGGGCGGTGGCGGCGGCGCGCGCGGCCCCAGCGAGGGAGAGGCGGCCCCGGGCGGGCGACAGCGAACCCAGACCCCGCGGCTCCGGCCTCGGCGGCGGCCCCGGGCCTCCCTGCCGCCTTGGTAGCGCCGGTCCGCACTCGGCCTGACCCGGGACGTCACGCCGCCTGTCTGTTTTCTCAATGATAACTTGGCAGGAGAAGGGGGAAGCGGCCGGGTTTTCCTGGGCTCGTTACTGGGTACGTGCACGTTTCCTTTACATGCGTGGGTTTTTTTTGGGTTATCTTCCCTTTTTTCCCCCACCCTTTTTTTTTTTTTTAAGGGAAATAATGAAAAACCGAGACAGGAAATCCGGGGCGCGGCGGGGGCTGCCGCCCCGCGATGGTGGCGGGGTGCGGGGAAGCGGCGGCGCGGCCGAGGGGCGCAGGCATGCGTTCATCTTTTTGTCTTTCATTTTACCTTCAGGGTGACATTCAGTGCCGGGCGAGCTTCGCCGGTCACCGCCAAGTCTCGCCTGGAAAACAAACCAAACCAAACAAAAAGAGAAACCAACCCTCTTTACCCTCCCCCAAAATAAAAGCCCAACCTGCTACCGAAGGCGGGGGGCGACCCAGTGGGGCGGTCGACAGGACACCTCGCCCAAGGGATGCGGGGATACTCGGAGGCACGCAGGAGCAGCTAGCAGCTGCCGAGCAGCCGCGGGATGGGGAAACTGATTGAAGGGGGGGGGGACACACATCCCCGAATGTGTGTGTGTATATATATATATATACACATTTTTAATGTACATAATATATATATTATATATATACATATATTAAAAGGCCCCCGAAACGCAGGAGGCGGCGTAAACTGCTCTTCGGCGAGCAGTGAGGATGCTGCCGTGCAGGCCTGGCGCTGCACTTGTAACATCCCCCCCCGAGTCTCCTCCAAGTCTCTGCAGGGGAAGCCTGGGGGGGATGGTGGGGGTGGGGGTGGTGCAGGACACGGACCTCACCCTCCGCACAGACCCCGGGTTCAATTCGGGTACCCCCGGGACGCAGCGGCTGCTCGGCATCACAATGGCGTCGCTGCTAAGGACTGGCGCAAACCCTGGCGAGATTTACTCGCGGGTACTTAAACCATCTCCCCCTACCTCTGCTGCTGCGGAGCAGCTATTTCCGAAAGCTGGGCGGTTTTACGTTAAAAGAGCAGGTGCGCACTGGCCTGCAGTTAGCACCGGGGTTGGTGTAAGCGGTGGTAGGGGCTGGCAAGGCACCTGCAATTTCTTACCTCGATTTTCTTGTACTCTTAGGCAAATCCTCTAAGTCTACACAAATGGCCCTGTTAAATTCAGGGGACCTTCTGCGTGTTGGGTTTAACCCGCGTGGAGAAGTATTTCCACGTGTAGGCCTCACTTAAAAACAAACTACCCATGGTCGCTTCGGTTTGAGTGCCTCTTGAGCTAAAGATCAGTTGCTGCACACACACGCACTGTTAACAGCCCAAACTGCTGAAACACCACGACACCCTGCACAGTGACCACAGAGCGTCCCAGCAGCGCCCAAGGTCAAGTTTACCTCTTTCGCGCTGAGCTGTGCACCACCTACTTTAATAACTAGTTACAACGCTGGGGATACGCATATAACTAGTTCATGAAGGGATACATGTAGCAGGGCTGAAATGAAATTAATTCTTCTGCGACTGCCTCTGTTCAGCCTTAATATTACCATTAGAGCTTTCATTTTCCTCATTTAAATACAATAAAAGGAAAATTGCCTTTGCTTAATATTGCTACTAATCAGGTGTTGCTATTCCAGTTGTTAGGTAATAAAGTCAGGGAGAAGTTAGTGTGCGCCTTTTCTGTTGCTGGACTCTGCTCCCACTGGCACCTTGTTTTAAATGATGAGATCGCCTCTTGCAGCTGGAAAAGCAGCTGGGGGAAAAAGGAAGTCCCTCTCTGAATATGGTACAGTCTAAACATCGTTTTAATGAGCCTGAAAGTGAAAGCACTTTTTTTCTGTCTTTCTTTTAACCCAAGCTACTTAAGATGCTTTCTGGCTTGGCTAGAAAGACGAGTCTGTTTAATGTTTCTGTTTTGGACTTGGTTTGAACTGCTTTTAAGCAAAATTCTTACCTGTCTTAACTATACTGTCTCAGCAGAGTACTTTACTGATACATATTTTTTGTAGACTTGAAAAGCATTTTGTACAGCTTGATCATTGTCTGTATTTCATCATTAGTTTCTTAAGTGAGGCTCTTCTGATTGATGTGGGGAATTGCTTTGAAAGCATGAAGGGTATGGTGTAGCTACCCAAGATGCTGCTTGCAATTATTCCATACCTCGGCTAAGAGCGAGATTTTTAGTTGTGATTGTTACACTTTTAAAAGTGAATTAGTTAATCAAATTGCTATCTTTGGAATGCACTTAAAAGAACATTAAAATGCATAAATTTCATTAAAATAAATGAGCAGATAGGCAACAAAACAAGTATTAGTCAAATAAGATCTCACCCATGGAGCCAAATTCAGCCCTGGTGACATCAACTGAGTTGTGCTTGTCTACAGCATATTTAATTTGGCTTCTGCAGTCACACAGCTGACACTATGTGGTTGTCAAATGTGTGTTTATTAAAAATGGGTGAGCCGTTCTCCTCCAACATGATTAACCTCTGAAATTCACCTGGTTTCCATTTAGCTCAGCTGTGCCATCCATTGCATATGCAATTTTTGGTGCTCATAAACCCCAGAGATGCAGAGAGGCATCCCGAACCCTGGTATTAATCTAAGGGACATGAGTTGTCTCTGAAGCAAGGGTGCGATGAGGTTGATTTCAGTGGAGACTCTTCACAATGGGCTGCATATATGCTTCAGTTAAAAGGCTGCACTAAAGTCTCTCCTGCCATCTTTCATTATTGTTGTTACTCATACCAGTGAGAGTAAAGGAAAGGTTGGTATGTCTGTAATCACACATTCATGTGCTATGTAGATATATCCTAATAGCCTCTCCGCACAGGAAAATTATTCAGGAATAAAGTTGGATGTGAATGTAAAGCAGAATGTGCTCAGATAGCTTGTTCATTCTGGAATGACTGAGCTCTTTCCTGGTTTCACTTAATCCACTTTCAAAATGAATTAAGATAATTCAAGAAAGGGAATTCTGTTGCTGGTACAAGATTTGTCTACACATGAGTTTAGTTTTAGTCATTACTGCAGTGTACCTAATAGGTGTTTTTGAATGATTTGGTGCATAGACAAGTCCAAAGTCCCACAGGTGAAAACAACAGAATTAATCTTTCTCTATAACATGAGGTTAATTTGGGCCGGAGTTTTACCTACTTTTTTCCTTGTGAAGGATATTAAATTCATTACATGTTTTTAGCAAAATGTCCCACAACAGCTATGTATTTATGCTCAATTCCAGGGTAGCAATGCCATGTGCCCTCCCCTAAAGTAAACAGTCAGTACCTTCTCAACTACCTTGAAGTTGACAGTAGATTCATTGCTGGAGAAAACACCAGCTTCTCAATGGTAAATATTTTGAGTGGACTGTTGCAAACAAAAGCAAAACAAACTCAAAGCCCTGCTCTGTCCTTTTATAAACACCCATGATCCATTTGTACTTTGACTGCATGCCATTCAAAGCAATAGCACCCATTCTAATTCAAGAATATTAGTTCCTGAATGAGAAACCCCTCAGATTTGTTCAGAAGGGCTTGTGGAACAACAGGGCCTTAAGAATAGAAAGCTAATGTATAGTTTGCATTTGAAGGTCTTGGGAAGAGTCTATCTGAAACTCGGGCAGATGGGTTGTATGAGGTGTATTGTAGCACAGCTGGCATACAGGAAAGTTACCAAAATGATACTGAAAACATACAGAGTTTTTTGTGACTTTATGCCAAGCAGAAAGTTCGTCAAATGTCATTTGGTCTCATTCTGTGCCATAGAAGAGAGGCGACTCCCTGACAGGAATCGAGACTCTAAAACTTCAAACTTAAGGTTGGCTGTTGGGTGGGGTTTGGTTTTTTGTTTGTTTTTTTTTTTGGGGGGGGGGGGGAAGAGGAGAACTAGACAAAGAAATAATGTAAGCCCAGCTAGTGAAACAGCCGAGTTTTTTGAAAGAAGCATGAATATAAAAACTAGATGGCACAAATTGCTGACCCTTTAAACATTGACAAGGGAAAAGACAGTAAAAGCTATGAAGATGAAAATCCCAACTCCTACTTTGTGCGAAAGGCTGCAATGTGGGGTGGCAAAAGGTATCAAGGGGTCTTCTCTTATGCAGGTGAAATAGTCCTGTTGCTCTGTGTAACAGGCAATGATGCCACACATTGTATTCTCCTTCCTAAGATCAGTTTGTGATTACAAGCATGGCTTTGCTGTCCTGTGTTGGTCTTGGTTGAGGATATAGAGTGGATTTCACATATGCCTCCCTCGCACCAAACCTGCTTGTTTAATAAGAAGCTTCCTGGTAAGAAAGTGAGTGTTGACTAAAGAAGGTAAAACACAGATAAACATAAAATAATCAAGTTCTTGGATTCTCTTGTGCTGGGTGACTTTGCACATGGGTCTAGTTTTGCTATTAAGGCTCAAATTAGACTAAGATCTAAGGCATCAGGACCATGCCTGATCTGAAATCCTGCTTATGTAAGAGACTGGATTGATCACTTTACACTGCTTCCACTGAGAGGTCTCTGAGCCACCAGCTCTCTCCCACTTTTGTCATTACTCCTGTCATTAGGTTAGATATAAAGAAGCACTTCTTTACTGTGAGGATGGTGAGGCACTGGAATGGGTTGCCCAAGGAAGTCGTGAATGCTCCATCCCTGGCAGTGTTCAAGGCCAAGTTGGGCGGAGTCTTGGGTGACATGGTTTAGTGTGAGGTGTACCTGCCTTGGCAAGAGGGCTGGAACTTGATGATCTTAAGGCCCTTTCCAACCCTAACTATTCTACAATTCTATGATTACAGGGGAATTTCTTATCCAGCGAGGAAAGTGTCTTTAAGTCTCTGAGATGATGTCACAGGCAAGAGGAAATCTCAGTGCACAGCCAGTGCAGTGAAATTAAGGATCCTCTATGGGAATTGGTTAGTAGCACCAATGGTTAATATTTGTCATAACAACCAACAGTTTTGTTTTTTGTTCTAACAATGTGAATTACACATTAAACATTAATACAAGTGATTGTACTTTTCTTTTGATCTTCAAGCATAACCATTTCAAATGAGAGTTTATAAATGAGCATTGAAACAAATCCCTGAGTCATGTGAATTTACATTGGTTTTACTCTGGGGGAAAGATATCCCACATGAGTTACTCATGTCTGCAAAACATAACATAAATCAGAAAGCAAAAATAAAAAGAGCTTGTATTTGGCTGTTGGAATGTAAATATCTGTGTGGATATTTGGCTTGTGCGCTAGTGGTAATGCAACATTAAAAAGTTCATTTATCAGAGATCAAGATTCGGAATGGGGCCCTCACCTAATAGGAGATCCAAGTCAGCTCAGAATAAGCAAGCTAACCTTTTAGCTTCTGCAGTTTGGCTCCTACCAAGTAGCGACCCTAGTGTCAGAGGAATTTGAACCAACTCAGAGTAAAGGGATCAGAATTTGGCTGGCTTCATACAGACAAAAGTTGCCAAACTGCCATCATTAAGGACTAATACTGCATATGCTTAGCAAACTGTATAGTGCTGAGTGGCACCTTTCCAGATGTCCTTGACAGCCAGCTGCAGTGCAAGGCTGACCCAGTCCAGACCAACTGTAAAACCTGCTTGACCATATCTGATACCTGCTCCTCTTGGTTTAACATCAGTCACAAACATTGCATTCCATGAAAACATAAACACTGTGGATTGTGTATCTGCCAAGACAGTTATTTAAAATGCAAACAGAATTTAAGCCCTTTCCCCTTTCACACGCTACACAAATATTACAATAACCAGCCGTCTGCACTTAAGTAATGTACGTGCAAAGTACATATGACTTACTGAGGAAAGTACAGGTACAAAACAGCATGATAGGCCTGATTCAGATAGGTACTGACTACAAGGTTTACAGAATGACTCTTGCCTTTCCAAAACAGGTCTCAAAGCCAGGGGTTTCAGAAGAGGAACGGCTGCCAAGAAGGTATTATGTTTAGTGGCACATAGGCTCTATCTATGATTCAGGTCATAGCTCATGAATCTCAAAAGCCCATTGTATTTCATTCTTAATGTATAAATGCTAAAGGAATCCTGGAAGCCAGAGATCCAGGATTATCCCACATAACTCAGTATCCTCACAGGAGGCTACAGTCATGCTCCTCTGCTGCTGCTTTTCTGTGGCCTGAATAACCTTAAATGCTGATGGTAGAGCTTCAAAAGGAAGAGCAGAAGAAGCCTATGCATAGAATAGTTTATAGACTGGAAGAGGAGGAAACATGAAACCCTTCATCCATGAACTTGAATTCTTAGCTGCTATGTTTTATACAAAGACAGAGGAACTGATACTGTTGAGTTGAGAAAGAAGCACTTGTAACACTCCATTAGGGAACCCCAGTGTTGTTTGTGTGAATTAAGCCTTCCCCGAGGTTTCAGAACTTCACCTGGCACATTAAGTCGAAAGATTAATAGATTAATATTGGATCTTAAACAATTTCGGGCTGAAGGACCTCAACTACCTCAGCTCCATCTAGACACTGCTTGAAGCACATTGACATTACCCAGCTTTAGAAGTTTTGTGAGTCTTCTGACTTTTCAAGAGCCTAGTTACATCCCCAGGCACAAGCAAAGAGCTGTAATTGCAAAGCTGTGATAGATACAAGTAGAAAATGGTGTACAGAAGCTTGTAAGGAGGACTTCCTTAGCACCAGTCAGGATGACAAAGCCTGCTGGACCACAGGGTCCCAGGCTGCGTTCACAGCCCTGGAATGCCCGCTAGAAACACTCCCAGTCATTTGGTGCATGTTAGAGGTTCTCTTTTCTAGAGACCTAAATGAAATGTGCTGATACCGAGCCCATCCTTCCTCTTACAGCTAAAGGCCTCCAGCAGGTGGTCAGGAGGCCAATGGGAAGGAGAGGACACCAGTTTTAATCCATTTGTTCATGATGAAAAATGATGAGAAAAGTGAAAAGATTATTCTATAGAAGAATGCTTTTACTTACATTTAACTGCTTAACACCAGTCAGAACCCCGATTTCCATTACTGTATATGCATGTCATGGTATGGTGAAATCTTCTTCAGTAATTAACTGGTCAGAGCCACAGACTAGAAACCAGCTATGCAGCCAGTGAAAGCTGACATAGCTTTCACGAAATTGGTGGACTTACACCAATTCATACTGTCTGGGGATTTGGTCTTCAATTTCTAACTAAAAAATTGCATTTTTCCATGATATTTATTGGGCTGTTCAGCCTGGAGAAGCTGCATGGGGACCTCAGAGCAGCTTCCATTATCTGAAGGGGGGCTACAAGAATGCTCAAAGAGGGACTTTTCTTCAGGGACTGTAGTGATAGGACAAGGGGTGATGGGTTCAAACTTAAACAGAGGAAGTTTAGATCAGATATAAGGAGGAAATTCATTACTGCAAGGGTGGTGAGGCTCTGGAAAGGGATGCCCAGAGTAGCTGTGAATGCCCCATCCCTGGCAGTGTTCAAGGCCAGGTTGGACAGAACCTTGGGTGACATGGTCTAGTGCGAGGCATCCCTGCTCATGCCAGGGGGTTGGAACTCAATCTTAAGGTCCTTTCCAACCCAAGTCATTCTACGATTCTATGGTTTCAGTTATATTATACAGCAAAAGCAATAAAGTAGAAAGTTCTAAATATTTATACAACCAAGACAGATGCAGAACAAATGCAAAATCTTTGGCAATCAAATCCTACAACCACATTATTATATATTTCAGTGTTGGAGCCATGTGGATTACTCCTTAACTTTAGGGCAGCTCATTTTCTTGCCTCCATCTTTCCAGCCACTATTAGAGCTACAATCTGTCCATCTCTTTATGCACTAATCTGCCACCCCTAGGGAGAGGGGGACAAGTTACATGATGGGTGATTGTCCATGGGCGAATGTCTAAATGTGAAGGGAAACAACTGAATTTTAATGGCAGAAGATAATCTCTGGGCAGTGCACGAATTACTGGGGCCTACTGCTATCAGGAGCTGTATGCTATGCTCTTCTCTCCTAGTGAGGTCAGCAGAATGCAGTTGAGATGAGAAGGATGCAGAAACAAGCTGCACAATACCAGCTCCTTCTCTCATGCCACAAATAACAGGGCAAGAGACCTGCTGCCATCAGGCCCAACAGAGTTGCCCCAGTATCAATGCAGAGAAATGGTGACAAAAATTAGGGTACCTGCTCCAGATTTACACCACCAAAGATGTGTTCTCATTAGGTATTTATAGCCCAGTAGCATTGTTTAGGGGAAGAAGGTATATTTATTAAGTGCTGTACAAAATACTTCATCAGATTAAATTCCTGTATCCAAAAGCCCAACAACAAAAATTGCAGAGGGAGGGTGGCAAACAACAGGATATCCTGGGAAGAAAGTATACCAGTAATTGCAGCAAAGGCAGCCAGCCAGAGAGGCCTTTGCTACACACAGGGTAGTGATAATTCTGCCAAAGAGGCAAGTGTTCATTTCCTTTTTAGCTCTGCTATTTCCATTACATTGAAGTAGTTTTTTAAAGCTTACAGACATCAAGTTTATAAAGCTTAAAACCTTGTCATATCTAAGACAATATATACCAATTTATCTAAATCTCTATAAGAATATGTCATCTAATATGATTTGAATTTTTTGTGGGGTTTGAGAGTTTAAGAAGTTTAGTGAAAGAGGGATAATTTTTGGTCTTGTTTTTGTCTTCTTAGAAGATTCTGGCAGGAACATAAAGGATAGTCCCCAGATCTGTATATACCTACCTGTAGATAATGAAATAGAAAATAAAAGATGCTTTAAAATATCACCAGTCTTTTAATTTGCTCTGTAGCTGGATGGCAGAGTTTCAGTCATTTTCACCAAAACAAGGAGACCCACTGCAAAGTACTGTCTTTTGAATTTTGGGCTAAGCAATCATAGCCCTGAATAGGTCACAAAAGGTATCAGCCTTACCTATACTGCCCTTCTGCTCAGATGGCAGCTCTGACCCCAAAAGAGACAAGAGGACAGCCGTGGCCACCTGGCATTGCCTTCTTGCACAGAGAGAAGCAGGCAGGGGAGGAGGGAGCTGGTATCCAGCCAGGTCTTATGCTTCAGGCTGCCAAGTTGGAGCGCATCCTCCCAATGGGCTTCTACAGGGGAAGGCATCGAGGAGAGCTAAGGATGGGGAGCTGCTTCCCTTGCAAACACCTCTGCATCCCCCTTTGCTTCCTTCCAGAAGAAGACTAAGCATGCCTCTTATTTAGCTGAAAGCTTTCCACCTGATGTTGAGTATGTTAGCGTGCTGGTGGACACAGACACTACACAGCATATGTAAAACGTAACTTCAAGGATGTGTCCAGCAACAACCTTACACTGAAGCCAGTTCTCATCTTAGTTATAGGAGAATTAATATCGAATCATAGAATAGATCAGGTTGGAAAGGACCTTAAGATCATAAATCCCTGACATTTTTTACTCATAAACCATATTTTTGCCTAACCAACTAATACTGTTCTTTATATAAGCTACCCAAAGTTTGGTTGGGTCCATTATTTTCTCAATTAACTTATTTCAACAAGGCTAATTTTACTTAGTGCAGTTTTTTGCACTGTACCATTGGTTACTATGGTACGGTTCATTGCAATAGAGCAATTTCACTAGTTAGAAGACTTCACCATAATGTTTTGCTACTATTTCTGATGAGAATTAGATCCACTAGCTCACAAATGCCACATCCATGTCCTTTTGGAGCCATCCCAAGGACTTCAGTGGTCCGCCTGTGTTTGTCAGGCTTCACTCAACCCCTCCTCTGAGCCCCTTCAACATGTGTGTCCAGTTAAGACTACAGAAGAAGAGAAAACATGGTTTATTAACCACCAGTGTATTAATTTCCAGTTATTAGGAGACTTGCTCTACATCCCTATCTGTGCAGATAGAGTATCACATTACTAAGTTACCAG